GAAATTCACCTGGAGACCCCAAAATTCACCTGGGAAAGTCAAAATACGAATTGGGGACCCCAAAATCCAACCTGGAGATCCCAAAATCCACCTGGAGATCCCAAAACTCGCCAGGGAACCCAAAATTCCAACCTGGAGACCCCAAAACTCCATCTGGGGAACCCCAAAATTCACCTGGAGACCCCAAAATCCACACAAGGACCCCACAAAATCCACCTGGAGATCCCAAAACTCCACCTTGGGAGCCCCAAAATGCACCTGGAGGTCCCAAAACTCCACCTGGGGAGCCCCAAAATTCCACCTGGAGAGCCCCAAACTCACCAGGGAACCCAAAATTCCAACCTGGAGACCCCAAAAACCACATTGGGGATCCCAAAAATCCCCATGGACAACCCCGAATCCACCTGGAGACCCCAAAACCACATTGGGGACCCCAAAATCCACCTGGAGACCCCAAAATCCACCTGGGGAACCCCAAAATCCACCGCAAGGACCCCACAAAATCCACCTGGGAACCTCCACGTGGAGACCCCAAAACCCCACAAAAAAAACCCCAAAATCCACACGAGGACCCCAAAAATCCACCTGGGATCCTAAAACTCCCAGGGGAACCGAAATGCACCTGGGGAACCCCAAAATCCACCTGGAGAGCCCAAAAATGCACCTGGAAAGCCCAAAAATGCACCTGGAGACCCCAAAATCCCAACCTGGAGACCCCAAAAACTCCACCTGGAGAGCCCAAAACCCCAACCTGGAGACCCCAAAAATCCACCTGGGGAACCCCAAGTCCACCTGGAGACCCCAAAAATCCACCTGGAGACCCCAACTCCACCATGGGAACCCCCAAAAAATCAACCTGGGAACCCAAATCCACATCGGGGACCCCCAAAATCCCAACCTGGAGACCCCAAAATGCACCTGGAGTGAGGGTGAAAAGGGGGGCGGGGCCAAAGCTGGGCACACACACCTGGGCACACACACGGTGACACACCTGGGGCACACCTGGACACACACACACACACCTACCTGGGCACACACATAGTGACACACCTGTGACACACCTGGGCACACCTGGGCACACCTGGACACACACCACACACCTGGGCACAGCCAGTGACACACCTGGGGCACACCTGGACACACACACACACACCACACACACCTGGGGCAACACCTGGGGCACACCTGGGCACACCTGGGGCACACCTGGGCACACCTGGACACACCTGGACACACACACACACACCTGGGCACAGCCAGTGACACACCTGTGACACACCTGGACACACCTGGACACACACACACACACACACCACCTGGGCACAGCCAGTGACACACCTGTGGCACACCCAGTGACACACCTGGGGCACACCTGGGCACACACACAGACACACCTGTGCACACCTGTGTACAAACGCACCTGTACACACAGGCACACACACACACACCTGTGCACACGCACAAACAAAACACGCTCACCTGTGCACACATCTGTGCTCAGAGACACCTGGGCACACCTGGGCACACCCAGGGACACACACACACACACACAAACACACCTGGGCACACCTGGGCACACCTGGGCACACACACAGGGACACACCTGGGCACACCTGGGCACACACAGCAGGACACACACAGTCACCCCCGGCACACACAATGACACACCTGGGCACACCTGGTGCATGTGTGCGCACCTGTAACCACAGCTGTACACACACCTGTGCACACACACACACACCTGTAACCACAGCTGTGCACACCTGTATACACACCTGTATACACACACACCTGTAACCACAGCTGTACACACACCTGTGCACACACACACCTGTAACCACAGCTGTGCACACCTGTATACACACCTGTGCACACCTGTGCACACACACACCTGTAACCACAGCTGTACACACACCTGTGCACACACACACACCTGTAACCACAGCTGTACACACCTGTATACACACCTGTATACACACCTGTGCACACACACACCTGTAACCACAGCTGTACACACCTGTAGACACACCTGTGCACACCTGTGCACACACACACACAGGTGCACACACACACACGGGTGCACACACACCCCTTTGCACACCTGTGCACACCTGTGTGTACCTGTCACACGCACACACATGCACACACGCACACCTGAACACACCTGTGCACACCTGTACACACTCACACCTGTAACCACAGCTGTGCACACCTGTATACACACCTGTATACACACCTGTGCACACACACACGGGTGCACACACACACAGGTGCACACACACACCTGAACACACCTGTGCACACCTGTACCTGTCACACACACACACACACACACACCCCTGAACACACCTGTGCACACCTGTACACACTCAAACCTGTAAACACAGCTGTACACAGCTGTATACACACCTGTGCACACCTGTGCACACATACAGGTGCACACACACCTGAACACACCTGTGTGTACCTGTCACACACACCTGAACACACCTGTGCACACCTGTGTGTACCTGTCACACACCCCTTTGCACACCTGTGCACACTCACCTGTGCACCCCCCCCATCAATCAGGGCCCTCCCGGGGGGTCCCTATTGAGGTTTGGGGGAGGGGATTGGGGTCAGGCCACGCCCCCCACCCCAAATGGAGACACCCCCCCCTCCCCCAAAATTGGGGACCCCAAAAATGACACCCCCAAAATGGGGAACCCAAAACGACCCCCCCAAAAAAGACCCCTCAGAATGGGGACCCCAAAACGACCCCACAAAATGGGGACCCCCAAACTCGGGACCCAAAAATTGGAACCCCAAAACGGGGACCCCAAAATGGGGAACCCAAAACGACCCCACAAAATGGGGACCCCAAAAATGACACCCACAAAATGGGGAACCCCAAAATGGGGACCCCAAAACGACCCCCCCAAAAAAGACCCCTCAAAATGGGGACCCCCAAAATCAGGACCCAAAAATTGGAACCCCAAAACGATCCCCAAAACAGGGACCCCAAAATTGGGAACCCAAAATGACCCCACAAAAAAGACCCCCTGAAATAAGGACCCCCCAAAAGACCTCCCAAAATCAGGACCCCAAAATTGGGGAAACCCCAAAAATCGGGACCCTAAAATGACGCCCTAAAATGGGGACCCCAAAACGACCACCCCCCAAATTGACCCCACAAAATTGGGGACCCCAAAAAGACCCCCCCCAAAATTGGGACCCCAAAACGACCCTACAAAAACGACCCCCTAAAATTGGGACCCCAAAATCAGGACCCCAAAACGACCCCCCCGAAAATTCACAGCCCCAAAAAGACCCCCCCCCCCCCAAAATTGGGACCCCCAAAACGACCCCACAAAAACGACCCCCCCCCCCCAAATTGACCCTACAACAACGAACCCCCAAAATGGGGACCCCAAATATTCACAGCCCCAAAACGACGCCCCCCAAAACGACCCCACAAAATTGGGACCCCAAAATGGGGACCCCAAAACGACCCCACAAAATTGGGACCCCCAAAATGAGGCCCTCAAAATGGGGACCTAAAAACGGGGACCCCAAAACGACCCCACAAAAATTCACAGCCCCAAACTGACCCCCCTAAAATGGGGACCCCAAAACGGCCCCCCCCCAAATTGACCCCACAAAATTGGGATCCCAAAAAGACCCCCCCAAAAACGAACCCCCCAAAGTGACCCTACAAAGAAAGACCCCCTAAAATGAGGACCCCAAAACGACCCCTCCAAAATGGGGACCCCAAAACGGGGACCCCAAAACGGGGACCCCAAAACGACCTCCCCAAAGCAACCCCACAAAATCAGGACCCCAAAACGACCCCTCCCCAAATTGAGTCCCCTAAATTGGGACCCCAAAACTGGGACCCCCAAAACGACCCCTTAAGAAGACCCCCCCCTAAATTGGCCCCTCATAAATGGGGACCCCAAAACGACCCCACCAAATGGGGACCCCAAAATTGCAACCCCAGAACGACGCCCCCCAAAACGACCCCACAAAATTGGGACCCCCAAAACGACCCCACAAAAATTCACAGCCCCAAACTGACCCCCCCTAAAATGGGGACCCCAAAACGACCCCCCCCCCCAAACTGACCCCACAAAATTGGGATCCCAAAAAGACCCCCCCAAAATTTCACTGCCCCAAAACGGCACCACAAAAGCGACCCCCCCCCCAAACTGACCCCTCAAAACGGGGGACCCCAAAACGACCCCACTAAAAATTCACGGCCCCAAAACGACCCCCCCCCCACTCCCCCCAAAATTGGGACCCCCCCCAAAACGACCCCACAAAAACGACCCCCCCCCAACTGACCCCACAGAAATGGAGACCCCAAAATTGGAACCCCAAAATTGGAACCCCAAAATATTGGGGGACCCCAAAATTGGGGGGACCCCAAATCGAGCATCCCAAAACGACCCCCCCCCCCCCAAAAAAAAAACGGGAACCCCAAAAAACGAGCCGGGTCCAGACTGGGAAGGACTGGTCCATACTGGGAGGGGGATGGGGGTTACTGGTCCAGACTGGCCCATACTGGGAGGGACCGGCTCCGTACTGGGAGGGATGCGGAGAGGGCCGGCTCCGTACTGGGAGGGGGGATGGGGGCGACTGGTCCGGACTGGGAGGGGGGATGGGGGTGACTGGGAGGGGAGCGGGGGTCACTGGTCCGTACTGGGAGGGGGATGGGGGTGACTGGTCCGTACTGGGGGGGGTCCCCACTCACCGGGCCGGGCCTCAGCATCGCTCCAGCGGCCGCCGGGGCCCCGCGCCCCCGCCCGCGCTCGGCTCCGCTCGGCTCCGCTCGGCTCGGCTTCGGCACCGCTTCGGCACCGCTTCGGATGCGGTCGGGCTCGGTTCGGGTGCGTTCGGATCCCGTTCGGAACGGTTCGGATGCGCCCGGCCCCGGTTCGGCCGCGCTCGGCTCTGCCCGGCCTCGGGTTCGGCTCCGCTCGGCTCCGTTCGGCTCCGCTCGGGCCCGGATTCGGCTCCCGTTCGGCTCTGCCCGGCCTCGGGTTCGGCTCCGTTCGGCTCCGCTCGGGCCCGGATTCGGCTCCGCTCGGCTCTGCCCGGCCTCGGATTCGGCTCCCGCTCGGCTCTGCCCGGCCTCGGGTTCGGCTCCGCTCGGCTCCGTTCGGCTCCGCTCGGGCCCGGATTCGGCTCCCGCTCGGCTCTGCCCGGCCTCGGGTTCGGCTCCCGCTCGGCTCTGCCCGGCCTCGGGTTCGGCTCCGTTCGGCTCCGCTCGGGCCCGGGTTCGGCTCCGTTCGGCTCTGCCCGGCCTCGGGTTCGGCTCCCGTTCGGCTCCGCTCGGCCTCGGGTTCGGCTCCGCTCGGCTCCGTTCGGCCCCTCCGGAGGGGGCGGGGGAGGGGGGCGGGGCTGGGGAGGGGGACAGAGGGGACAGGGCGGGGACAGCGACAGCCCCGCCCCTCACCCGCGTCCCCAAAGCTGGCGTGACCCCCCCCCCAATAGTGTCCCCAATGTCACCAATGTCCCCTCAATGTCCCCAATGTCCCCTCAATGTCACCAATGCCCCCAATGTCCCAAATCCTCCAACAATGTCCCCCAATGTCCCCAATATTGTCCCCAATATTGTCCCCAATGTCCCCACTCCTTCAATGTCCCCAATGTCCCCAGTGTCCCTGCTGTCCCCAGTGTCCCTTCCATTATCTCAACCCCCTCCAGTGTCCCCCGTGTCCTCAAATGTCCCCAACTCCCAATGTCCCCAAATGTCCCCAATGTCCCTTCCATGTCCCCATCCTCCAATGAGCCCCAATGGCCCCGATGTCCCCAAACCTCCAAATGTCCCCAATGTCCCCAATGTCCCCAAACCCTCCCGATGTCCCCAATGATGTCCCCAACCGCCCCAGTGTCCCCAATGTCCCCCAATCCCCTAAATGTCCCCAGCCTCCAAATGTCCCCAAATGTCCCCAAACCCCACCAGTGTCCCCAGTGTCTCCAATGTCCCCAACCCCCAATGTCCCCAAATGTCCCCAAATGTCCCCAATGACCCCAAGGTCTCCTCCGTTACTTCAACCCTCCCAAATGTTCCCAATGTCCCCAGATGTCCCCAACCCCTCCCATTGTCCCCAACCTCCCCAGTGTCCCCAGTGTCCCCAATCCCCCAACCCTCCCAATGTCCCCAAACGTCCCCAAATGTCCCCAAACGTCCCCAATGTCCCCAAACCCCACAATGTCCCCAAATGTCCCCAAACGTCCCCAATGTCGCCAACCCCCCCAATGTCCTCAAATGTCCTCAAATGTCCCCAATGTCCCCAATGCCCCAACTCCCAAATGTCCCCAATGTCCTCAATGTCCCCAAACGTCCCCAATGTCCCCAAACCCCACAATGTCCCCAAATGTCCCCAAATGTCCCCAACGGTCCCCAACACCCCCATTGTCCCCAAATGTCCCCAATGTCCCCAATGTCCCCAACTCCCAAATGTCCCCAATGTCCTCAATGTCTCCAAGCCCCTCAATGTCCCCAACCCCCCCCCCCCCAGTGTCCCCAGGTGTCCCCAGGTGTCCCCAGGTGTCCCCAGGTGCCACCAGCCTCTCTCGGGGTCGTTATTTGGGCTTTATTGATTTTTGGGGGGTTTTTTTGGGGGGGTTTTTATGGCTTTGGGGACCCCCCCGGCCCCACACGGACACACCCGGGGGGGGAGGGGACACACGGGGACACCGAGGGGACACCGGGGGGGGGGGGGGGGACGGGGGGGGACACCGGAGTTTGGGGGTCCCCGGGTCCCTTTTGGGGACAAACACACACAAAGGGGGGCGGGGGAGGGGCACGGAGATTTTGGGGGGGGACACACACAAAGGGGGGGGTGACAAAAATGGGGACCCTTTTAAAGGGGGGGGACACCCCGAGGTCCTTTTGGGGTCCCTTTTTTATGGGGGGGACACCCCGAGATCCCTTTTTGGGGTCCCTTATTGGGGGGGGGGGTAAACTTGGGGTCCCCTTTTTTGGGGTCCCCTTTTTTGGGGTCCTTTTTTTAGGGGGGGGGTTACTGGGGGTCCTTTTGGGGTCCCTTTTTTTTTGGGGTCCCTTTTTTGGGGGGGGGGCACCCCGAGTTCCTTTCTTTGGGTCCCTTTTATAGGGGGTAATTTTGGGGTCCCTTTTTTTTGGGGTCCCTTTTTTTGGGAGGTCCCTTTTTTTAGGGGTCCCATTTTGGGGGGGGGACACACACTCGGGGGACCCCTTTTTGGGGTTCCCCCAAGTCCCATTTTGGGGTCCCTTTGTTTTGAGGGGGGGACATGCCAATTTTCCTTTTTGGGGTCCCTTTTATTTTGGGGTCCCTTTTTGGGGTCCCCCCCCGATCCCTTTATTTGGGGTCGCATTTTGGGGTCCCTTTTTTTAGGGTTTCCTTTTTTTGGGGTCCCCCCGATCCCTTTTTTTGGGGTCCCATTTTGGGGTCCCTTTATTTAGGGTTTCCTTTTTTTGGGGTCCCCCAATCCCATTTTGAGGTCCCTTTTTTTTGGGGTCCCTTTAGGGGTTTTTTTTGGGTTCCCCCCTCCCTTTTTGGGGATCCCGTTTTTTAGGGTTTCCCTTTTTGGGGTCCCCCTCCCCCCTTTTTTGGGGTCGCCATTTTGGGGTCTCCCCGCTCCATTTTTGGGGTCCCTTTTTGGGGATCGCTTTTTTTGGGGTCCACCCCCTCCCCCATTTTTTGGGGTTCCCCTCCCCCCCCCCAAACACGAACGGACACACACGGGGGGGTGGGGGAGGGGCGGGGGGGGAGCCCCATTTTTTTTGGGGGGGGGGGGTTTCCCCTTCCCCCTCCCCCCACCCCCCCCCGGATTTTGGGGTTCACAGTGGGGGGGGGCGGGGCCCCCCCGTGTCTTGGGGGGCCCGGGGGGGGCCCGGGGGGGGCCGGGGGGGCCCCCATGGCTTCGGGCCCGGCGGCCCCGGCGGCTCCGGCCCTGTGGGACCAGAATGGACCAGTATGGACCAGTATAAACCAGTATGGACTGGTATGGATGGGTATAAACCGGTATGGACCGGTATAAACCAGTATGGACCAGTATAAACCAGTATGGACTGATATGGAATGGTATGGATGGGTATAAACCAGTATGGACCAGTATAGACCAGTATGGACCAGTATAAACCAGTATGGAATGGTATGGATGGGTACAAACCAGTATGGACTGACATGGAATGGTATGGACCAGTACAAACCAGTATGGACCAGTATGGAATGGTATGGATGGGTATAAAACCAGTATGGACCAGTATGGACCAGTATAAACCAGTATAAACCAGTATGGACTGATATGGACCGGTATAAACCAGTATGGACCGGTATAAACCAGTATGGACTGATATGGAATGGTATGGACCAGTATAAACCAGTACGGACCAGTATGGACTGGTACGGACCAGTATAAACCAGAATGGACCAGTATAAACCAGTATGGAATGGTATAAACCAGTATAAACCAGTCCAGGCCAGTATGGACGGGTATGGAAATGGTAACTCCCAGTATGGACCAGTATGGACCAGTGTCCTCCCAGTATGGCCCCAGTGCCCTCCAGTATGAAAATGTGAATTCCCAGCCCCTCCCAGTCCCTCCCAGTCCATCCCAGTTTGCCCAGTTTGGTTCCCAGCCCCTCCCAGTCCATCCCAGTTTGCCCAGTTTGGCTCCCAGCCCCTCCCAGTCCGTCCCAGTTTGCCCAGTTTGGTTCCCAGTCCCTCCCAGTCCCTCCCAGTCCCTCCCAGCCCCTCCCAGTCCCTCCCAGTCCCTCCCAGTTTGCCCAGTTTGGCTCTCACCGCTCAGGGCGGGCCCAGGGCCTCTCCCGGGGCCGCTTTGTCCCGCGGGGCCGCCTTGGTCAGAGCCTTCTCCTGGGGACAGACGGACACACACGGGGACGGACGGACGGACACACGGACACGGGGACACAGGGACACCAGGGTGGACACGGGGACACAGACGGACACACGGACACACGGACAGACACACAGACACACGGACACGGGGACACACAGACGGACACACAGACACGGGGACACATGGACACACGGACACCAGGATGGACATGGGGACACACGGACAGACACACGGACACATGGACACGGGGACACACGGACGGACACACGGACACGGGGACACACGGACACAGGGACACCAGGATGGACACGGGGACACACGGACACAGGGACACATGGACACATGGACACATGGACATGGGGATGGACACACGGACGGACACACGGACACAGGGACACACGGATGGACACACAGACGGACATGGGGATGGACACGGGGACACACGGACACACAGACGGACACACAGACAGACACACCGACACAGGGACACGTGGACACACGGACACCAGGATGGACACGGGGACACACGGACAGACACACGGACACGGGGACACACGGACACACGGACACACGGACACGGGGACACGGGGACATGGGGAGAGAGGGACAGAGGGACATAGAGGAGACAGGGACAGACAGACGGACACAGGGACACATGGGGACACGGACAGACAAACGGACACGGGGACACGGGGACAGAGGGACAGGGAGGAGACAGGGACAGACAGACGGACACAGGGACATAAATGGGGACACAGGGAGACAGGGACAGGACAGACGGACACAGGGACACAGGGACAGGACAGACGGACGCCGTCAGGGATCCCGAGGTCCCCTTTGGCTTCCAGGGGCCCCCTATGGGATCTTGGGGGGGTCCCTATGGGATCAGGGGGGTCCCTATGGGATCTTGGGGGGTCCCTATGGGGTCAGGGGTTCCCCAAGGGTCCCTATGGGGTCAGGGGGTCCCTATGGGATCCTGGGCTGCCCCTATGGGTCCTTTATGGGGTCTGGGGGGGTCCTTATGGGGTCCGGGGTTCCCCAAAGGTTCCTATGGGATCCTTATGGGATCCTGGGGCTCCCTGTGGGATCTTTATGGGATCTGGGGGTTCCCTATGGGATCCAGGAGGGTTTTGGGGGTCCCCAGGAGGGTTTTGGGGGGCTCCTGACCTCCACCAGGGTGTGCCAGTGCTCGATGGGTTTGGGGGGGATCCCATGGGGTCCTTATGGGATCCTATGGGGTCCTTATGGGGTATGGGGGGTTCCTATGGGACCTGGGGGATTTTGGGGGTCCCAGGTGGGTTTTGGGGGTCTCCAGGTGGGTTTTGGGGGTCCCAGGTGGGTTTCGGGGGGCTCCTGACCTCCACCAGGGTGTGCCAGGGCTCGATGGGTTTGTGGGGGATCCTATGGGGTCCTTATGGGATCCTATGGGGTCCTTATGGGGTATGGGGGGTTCCTATGGGACCTGGGGGTCCCCAGGTGGGTTTCGGGGGTCCCCAGGTGGGTTTTGGGGGTCCCAGGTGGATTTTGGGGGGTTCCTGACCTCCACCAGGGTGTGCCAGTGCTCGATGGGCTTGGGGATTCCTATAGGATCTTTATGGGATCAGTGGCATCCCTATAGGATCCTGGGGATCCCTGTGGGATCTTTATGGGATCTGGGGGTTCCCTATGGGATCCTGGGGGATTTTGGGGGTCCCCAGGTGGGTTTTGGGGGTCCCAGGTGGGTTTTGGGGGGCTCCTGACCTCCACCAGGGTGTGCCAGTGCTCGATGGGCTTGCGGGGGTTCGCCAACATCTGCGCCCAGTGCTCGCGGCCGGGGCCGTCGGCGTCGCTGCCCACGCGGCACAGCCCGATCACCTCGTTGTGCCCGATGCTATCCAGGGGTCACAGGGGTCACGGGGGCACCCCAAAAAACCCCAAAACCCACCCCAAAATACCCCAAAAATCCCCCATTCTGCAGGACCCCAAAATTCCCCAAAACGACCCCAAAATCCCTCAAAAGTTGGTGTCGTTGCCCACCTGGCACAGCCCGATCACCTCGTTGTGCCCGATGCTATCCAGGGGTCACAGGGGTCACGGGGGCACCCCAAAAAACCCCAAAATCCACCCCAAAATACCCCAAAAATCCCCCATTCTGCAGGACCCCCGAAATCCCCCAAAACGACCCCAAAATCCCTCAAAAGTTGGTGTCGTTGCCCACCTGGCACAGCCCGATCACCTCGTTGTGCCCGATGCTATCGAGGGGTCACAGGGGTCAGGGGCACCCCAAAAAAACCCAAAATCCCCCCCCAGAATAACCCAAAAAATCCCGGTTCTGTAGGACCCCGAAATCCCCCAAAATGGCCCCAAAATCCCACAAAACGACCACAAAATCACCCAAAACAATCCCAAATCTGGCCCACCCACAACAGCCCCATTATCTCCTCATGCACGATTTTGGGGGGGTCAGGGGGACCCCAAAAAACCCCAAAATCCACCCCAAAATACCCCAAAAATCCCCCATTCTGCAGGAGCCCAAAATCCCCCAAAATGACCCCAAAATTATCCCCAAAACCCCCTCAAATCACCCCAAAATTCCCTCCAAAGACCCCCCCCCAGTACCTCCCAGTACAAACCAGTTCAACCCAACGGTGATGACGACGTTGACGCTCTCATGTTGGACGTCAACCGATGTCAACCATTGCTCCGGGATGACCCCAAATGCCCCAAAACCACCCCAAAATCACCTCAAGACCCTTCAAAGACCCCAAACGACCCCCAAAGACCCCCCCCAAATTCCAGCCAGGAGCCCTCCCAGTACAGACCAGTACAAACCAGTTGGACCCAACAATGATGATGACGTTGACATTCTCATGTTGGACGTCAACCAAAGAGAATCCCATTGATCCAGGATGACCCCAAACACCCCAAAGCCACCCTAAATCACCCCAAAATCCCCTCAAGACCCTTCAAAGACCCCAAAAGACCCCCAGAGACCCCCCCAAAATCCCAGCCAGATCTTCCCAGTACAAACCAGTTCAACCCAATGATGATGATGACGTTGACGCTCTCATGGAAGACGTCAACCGAGGAGCGTCCCATTGCTCCGGGATGACCCCAAACGCCCCAAAATCCCCCCAGATCACCCCAAAACCTCTCCAGGACATCACAAAGACCCCAAAATTCCCTCCAGAGACTCCCCAGTACAAACCAGTACAAACCAGTTCATCCCAACAATGATGACGACGTTGCACGTTCTCATGTTGGACATCAACCAATGTCAACCATTGCTCCGGGATGACCCCAAATGCCCCAAAACCACCCCAAAATCGCCCCAAAACCCCTCTAAGTCCCCCCAAAAATCTCTTCAGAACCCCCTAGGACCCCCTAAAACCCTCCCAGTACAAACCAGTTCAACCCAACAGTGGTGACCATGTTGATGTTCCCATGGAGGACGTCATCCAAGGAGCGTCCCAATGCTCTGGGATGACCCCCAAATTCCCCAAAACCCCCCAAAATCGCCCCAAAATCGCCCCAAATCCCCTCTAAATCCCCCCAAAATCTCATCAGAACCTCCCAGGACCCCCTAAAACCCTCCCAGTACAAACCAGTCCGACCCAACAATGATGACGACATTGATGTTCTCATGCTGGACATCAACCAATGTCAACCATTGCTCTGGGATGACCCCAAAATCCCCCAAAACCCCCCAAAATCACCCCAAATCCCCCCAAATCACCCCAAAATTCCCTCCAAAGACCCCCCCGTACTTCCCAGTACAAACCAGTTCAACCCAACAATGACGACGACGTTGACGTTCTCATGTTGGACGTCAACCAAAGAGAATCCCATGGATCCAGGATGACCCCAAACACCCCAAAGCCACCCTAAATCACCCCAAAAATCCCCTCAAGACCCTTCAAAGACCCCAAAAGACCCCCAGAGACCCCCCCAAAATCCCAGCCAGATCTTCCCAGTACAAACCAGTTCAACCCAATGATGATGACGACGTTGACGCTCTCATGGAAGACGTCAAACAAGGAGCGTCCCATTGCTCCGGGATGACCCCAAATGCCCCAAAATCCCCCCAGATCACCCCAAAACCTCTCCAGGACACCGCCAAGACCCCAAAATTCCCTCCAGAGACTCCCCAGTACAGACCAGTACAAACCAGTTCAACCCAACAATGATGACGACGTTGCACGTTCTCATGTTGGACATCAACCAATGTCAACCATTGCTCCGGGATGACCCCAAATGCCCCAAAACCACCCCAAAATCGCCCCAAAACCCCTCTAAGTCCCCCCAAAAATCTCTTCAGAACCCTCTAGGACCCCCTAAAACCCTCCCAGTACAAACCAGTTCAACCCAACAGTGGTGACCATGTTGATGTTCCCATGGAGGACATCAACCAAGGAGCGTCCCAATGCTCTGGGATGACCCCAAATTCCCCAAAACCCCCCAAAATCGCCCCAAAATCGCCCCAAATCCCCTCGAAATCCCCCCAAAATCTCATCAGAACCCCCCAGGACCCCCTAAAACCCTCCCAGTACAAACCAGTCCGACCCAACAATGATGACGACATTGATGTTCTCATGCTGGACATCAACCAATGTCAACCATTGCTCTGGGATGACCCCAAATCCCCCCAAAATCACCCCAAATCCCCTCGAAATCCCCCAAAAATCTCTTCAGGACCCCCTAAGACCCCCTAAAACCCTCCCAGTACAAACCAGTCCGACCCAACGACAGCGGCCACGTTGACGCGCTCACCTTGGACGTCAACCAACGTCAACCATTGCTCCGGGATGACCCCCAAAACCCCCCAAATCCCGCCCAAAACGACCCCGAAACCTCTCGGGGCCCCCCCCGGTGCCCCCAGGGCGCACCAGTCGTAGTCGACGACGGCGATGGTGAGGCTGACGTGGTGCACGCTCTCGTGGGGCACGTCGAACACCAGCGCCTCGTTGTAGTTGGGGTTCAGCGTGTTCTTCTTGATGGACGTCTTGCGCTTCTTCAGCCGCCGGCCCTCGGCCATCAGCGAGGCCTTCACGTAGGGGTCTGCGGGGGCCCCAAAGCGCCCCAAAATAACCCACAGGGCCCCGAAACGTCCCATAATAATCCATGGAAGCCCCGTAACATCCCATAATAACCCATAATAACCCACAGGGCCCCCGTAGGCCCCAAAAGGTCCCATAATGATCCATAGAACCCTATAATAACCCATAATAACCCACATGGCCCCACAGGGCCCAGAACATCCCATAATAATCCATGGAAGCCCCGTAACATCCCATAATAACCCATAATAACCCACAGGGCCCCACAGGCCTCAAAACACCCCATAATAATCCATGGAAGCCCGTAACATCCCATAATAACCCATAATAACCCACAGGGCCCCCGTAGGCCCCGAAACGTCCCATAATAATCCATGGAAGCCCATAACATCCCATAATAACCCAAAATAACCCACAGGGCCCCCGTAGGTCCCAAAACATCCCATAATAATCCATGGAAGCCCCGTAACATCCCATAATAACCCATAATAACCCACAGGGCCCCACAGACCCCAAAACATCCCATAATAATCCATGGAAGCCCGTAACATCCCATAATAACCCAAAATAACCCACAGGGCCCCACAGGCCCCGAAACATCCCATAATAATCCATGGAAGCCCGTAACATCCCATAATAACCCATAATAACCCATAGCAACCCATATTGACCCATAGAACCCCACGGAACCCCACAAATTCCATAGCACCCCATAGGCCCCATAATAACCCATAGAACCCATAGACCCCATAGCACCCCATAGACCCCATAATAACACACGGGACCCCATAGTACCCCATAACATCCCATAATAACCCATGGACCCCATAATAGCCCATAGCACCCCATAGATCCCATAACAACCCATAGACCCCATAGCACCCCATAATAACCTATAGGAACTCATAGACCCCATGGAACCCCATAGACCCCATGGAACCCCATAGACCCCATAATAACCCATAGACACCATAGCACGCCATAGAACCCATAGCACCCCATAGCATCCCATAGCACCCCATAGAACCCCATAGAACCCATAGACCTCATAGAACCCCATAGGCCCCATAATACCCATAGAACCCCCTAGATCCCATAACAACCCATAGACCCCATAGCACCCCATAATAACCTATAGGACCCCATAGACCCCATAGCACCCCATAGAACCCCATAGACCCCATAGAACCCATAGCACCCCATAGCATCCCATAGCACCCCATAGAACCCCATAGAACCCATGGAACCCCATAGACCCCATAGCACCCCATAGACCTCATAGAACCCCATAGCACCCCATGGAACCCCATAGACCTCATAGAACCCCATAGCACCCCATAGAACCCATAGGACCCCATAGACCCCATAGCACCCCACAGACCCCATAGCACCCCATATAATCCATAATAGCCCATAGCACCCCAAAGCACCCCAAAGCACCCCATAGACCCCATAGACCCCATAGCACCCCATATCACCCCATAGAACCCCATAGAACCCCATAGAACTGCCCATAGACTTATGGATCAATGAGCACACCTGAGCACACCTGTGACACACCTGAGCACACCTGTACACACCTGAGCACACCTGTGCACACCTGTACACACCTGTACACACCTGCACACACCTGTGCACACCTGTACACACCTGTGCATACCTGTGCCACACCTGTGCACACCTGTGACACACCTGTACACACCTGTACACACCTGCACACACCTGTACACACCTGCACACACCTGTACACACACCTGTGCATACCTGTGCCACACCTGTGACACACCTGTGCACACCTGTAACACACCTGTGACACACCTGTGACACACCTGTACACACCTCTGCCACACCTGTACACACCTGCACACACCTGTGACACACCTGTACACACCTGTGCACACCTGTGACACACCTGCACACACCTGTAACACACCTCTGCCACACCTGTACACACCTGCACACACCTGTGCACACCTGTAACACACCTGTGACACACCTGTGACACACCTGCACACACCTGCACACACCTGTACACACCTGCACACACCTGTGACACACCTGCACACACCTGCACACACCTGCGCACACCTGTACACACCTGAGTAGCCGGTGAGGTCCATGGCGCGCAGGTTGGAGGCGCGGATGACGGTGACCGTGAGGCGCCCGGCCGTGGGCAGGTAACAGAGGGAGAAATTCACCTCACCCAGGTCGGCCTTCTCCTGGGGGACAGGTGGGACAGGTGAGGGACAGGGACAGGGACAGGGACAGGTGAGGGACAGGGACAGGGACAGGTGAGGGACAGGGACAGGTGAGGGACAGGGACAGGTGGGGGACAGGGACAGGTGAGGGACAAGGACAGGGACAGGTAACAGAGGGAGAAATTCACCTCGCCCAGGTCGGCCTTCTCCTGGGGGACAGGTGGGACAGGTGAGGGACAGGGACAGGGACAGGTGAGGCACAGGGACAGGTGGGGGACAGGGACAAGTGAGAGACAGGTGGGACATGAGCACGGGTGAGGGACTGGGACAGGTGAGGGACAGGGACAGGGACAGGTGAGGGACAGGGACAGGTGAGGGACAGGGACAGGTAACAGAGGGAGAAATTCACCTCGCCCAGGTCGGCCTTCTCCTGTGGGACAGGTGGGACAGGTGAGGGACAGGGACAGGGACAGGGACAGGTGAGGGACAGGGACAGGTGGGACATGAGCACGGGTGAGGGACTGGGACAGGTGAGGGACAGGGACAGGGACAGGTGAGAAACAGGGACAGGGACAGGTGAGGGACAGGGACAGGTGGGACAGGTGAGGAACAGGGACAGGGACAGGGACAGGTGAGGGAGAGGGACAGGTGAGGGACAGGGACAGGGACAGGAACAGGTGAGGGAGAGGGACAGGTGGGGGACAGGGACAGGGACAGGGACAGGTGAGGGACAGGCGGGACAGGTGAGGGACAGGTGAGCTCAGGTAACAGAGAAATTCACGTCCCCCACGTCGGCCTTCTCCTGTGGCTGGGACAGGTGAGGGACAGGAACAGGGACAGGGACAGGTGAGGGACAGGTGAGGGACTGAGGGACAGGTGAGAGGCGAGCAGAGATGAGGGGACAGGGACAGGTGGGACAGGTGCCTCCAGGTGTCACCTCCAGACAGGTGGGTACCGTGGGTCACCATCTCTGGAAGGTTCCCCTGCACCACCTTTCTCACGGACTTCCGAGTTTTTTTCTGGGATCTTTTAGGAGTTTTGGGATCTTTTGTTGTTCCTCATGGGTTCCCCAATTTCAGTGTCCACTCACCCCCGTCCCCTCCTGGATGTCCCTCTGGTGACCATCTCCAGAAGGTTCTCCAGCACCATTTACCCCATGAGTTTTTGGGTTTTTTATGGGTTTTCTTCTGGGATTTTTTAGGAGTTTTGGAATCTTTTGGCGTTCCTCATGGGCTCCCCACCATTCCAGTGTCCACTCACCCCCGTCCCCTCCTGGATATCCCTCCAGGTGGCCACCTCCAGCAGGTTCTCCAGCACCACCTGCTCATCTCACCTGTCCCACAACCCTTTTTTATGGAGTTTTGGATCTCTCTGGTGCTCCCCACAATTTTTTTGGGGCTCCCCACAATTTCAAATGTCCACTCACCCCCGTCCCCTCCTGGATGTCCCTCTGGTGACCATCTCCAGAAGGTTCTCCAGCACCATTTACCCCATGAGTTTTTGGGTTTTTCTCTGGGATCTTTTAGGAGTTTTGGGATCTTTTGTTGTTCCTCATGGGTTCCCCAATTTCATTGTCCACTCACCCCCGTCCCCTCCTGGATGTCCCAATGGTGACCATCTCCAAAAGGTTCTCCAGCACCATTTACCCCATGAATTTTTGGGGTTTTTATGGGGTTTTTTCTTGGATTTTTTAGGAGTTTTGGAATCTTTTGGCGTTCCTCATGGGCTCCCCACCATTCCAGCGTCCACTCACCCCCGTCCCCTCCTGGATATCCCTCCAGGTGGCCACCTCCAGCAGGTTCTCCAGCACCACCTGCTCATCTCACCTGTCCCACAACCCTTTTTTATGGAGTTTTGGATCTCTCTGGTGCTCCCCACAATTTTTTTGGGGCTCCCCACAATTTCAAATGTCCACTCACCCCCGTCCCCTCCTGGATGTCCCTCTGGTGACCATCTCCAGAAGGTTCTCCAGCACCATTTACCCCATGAGTTTTTGGGTTTTTCTCTGGGATCTTTTAGGAGTTTTGGGATCTTTTGTTGTTCCTCATGGGTTCCCCAATTTCATTGTCCACTCACCCCCGTCCCCTCCTGGATGTCCCTCCAGATGGAACCTCTGGTGACCACCTCCAGAAGGTTCTCTAGCACCATTTACCCCATGAATTTTGGGGTTTTTTATGGGTTTTCTTCTGGGATTTTTTAGGAGTTTTGGAATCTTTTGTTGTTCCTCATGGGTTCCCCAATTTCAGTGTCCACTCACCCCCGTCCCCTCCTGGATGTCCCTCTGGTGACCATCTCCAGAAGGTTCTCCAGCACCATTTACCCCATGAATTTTTGGGTTTTTCTTTGGGATCTTTTAGGAGTTTTGGAATCTTTTGTTGTTCCCCATGGGCTCCCCACCATTCCAGCGTCCACTCACCCCTGTCCCCTCCTGGATATCCCTCCAGGTGGCCACCTCCAGCAGGTTCTCCAGCACCACCTGCTCATCTCACCTGTCCCACAACCCTTTTTTATGGAGTTTTGGATCTCTCTGGTGCTCCCCACAATTTTTTTGGGGCTCCCCACAATTTCAAATGTCCACTCACCCCCGTCCCCTCCTGGATGTCCTTCCAGATGGCCACCTCGGGCCGCGCCTCGGCCGCCTCCAGCAGGTTGTCCATCACCACCTGCCCGATGAGGTCGTGCCGCGAGAAGCGGTCGAAGTCGTAGACGCTGAAGTGCAGCCGCCGCGCCGGCAGCTCGGCGAAGGGCACCCCGAAGCTGAAGGTCTCGTCCCACTCGGGGTTCAGCGTCCTCCTCAGCACCTTGGTCTGGAACTTCTTCTTGCGGTCGGGCAGCAGGTAGATCTTCACGTAGGGGTCCGAGAAGCCGTTGGAGTCCTTGGCCGGCAGGTCCCGGGCGCGCAGGACGCGCACCAGGAGCTGCTGGGAGCCGTACGAGTAGCGCAGGGACACCTGGAGGCGGCCGCACGGAGGGGACGCGGGGACGCCGCCGGGGCCGCCCCCGGGGCCACCGCCGGGGCCACCGCCCCGGGCACCGCCCGGCTCGGGGTCACCGGCGGGGCCGTAGAGCTCGGGCTGGATCTGGCCCAGGTGGGCAGGGGGCTCCTCGGGGACCGGGGGCAGCGACGAGCTGGGGAGAAGAGATTTGGGGTCGGAGAAGGTTTTGGGGTGGAGGATTTGGGGTTTGAGATGGTTTTTGGGTGGGGGATTTGGGGTTGGAGAAGGTTTTGGGATGGAGGATTTGGGGGGTTTGGGGGATTCAGGATGGAAGACTTGGGGCTAGGGATGGTTTTGGGGTGGAGGATTTGGGGGATTTAGGGGATTTGGGGTGGAGGATTTGGGGTCAGAGAAGGTTCTGGGATGGAGGATTTGGGGGATTTAGGGGATTTGGGGTGGAGGATTTGGGGTCAGAGAAGGTTCTGGGATGGGGGATTTGGGGTTGGAGAAGGTTTTGGGGTCATGGATTTGGGGTCAGAGAAGGTTTTGGGGTGGAGGATTTGGGGTTAGAGAAGGTTTTGGGATGGAGGATTTGGGGTTAGAGAAGGTTTTGGGATGGAGGATTTGGGGTCAGAGAAAGTTTCGGGATGGAGGATTTGGGGTTAGAGAAGGTTCTGGGATGGAGGATTTGGGGTTAGAGATGGTTTTGGGATGGAGGTTTTGGGGTTGGAGAAGGTTTTGGGATCATGGATTTGGGGACAGAGAAGGTTTCGGGATGGAGGATTTGGGGGATTTAGGGGATTTGGTGTCATGGATTTGGGGTTAGAGGTGGTTTTGGGGTGAGGGATTTGGGGTTAAGGATGGTTTTGGGATGGAGGTTTGGGGGTTAGAGATGGTTTTGGGGTAATGGATTTGGGATTAGAGATGGTTTTGGGATGGAGGATTTGGGGTTTGAGATGGTTTTTGGGTGGGGGATTTGGAGTCAGAGAAGGTTTTGGGGTGGAGGATTTGGGGGATTTAGGGGATTTGAGATGGAGGATTTGGGGTCAGAGAAGGTTTTGGGGTCATGGATTTGGGGTTTGAGATGGTTTTTGGGTGAGGAATTTGGAGTTAGAGAAGGTTTTGGGGTCATGGATTTGGGGTCAGCGATGGTTTTGGGGTGGAGGATTTCGGGAGAGGGATTTGGGGTTAGCGATGGTTTCGGGATGGAGGATTTGGGGGATTTAGGGGATTTGGTGTCACGGATTTGGGGTTAGAGGTGGTTTTGGGGTGAGGGACTTGGGGTTAAGGATGGTTTTGGGATGGAGGTTTGGGGGTTAGAGATGGTTTTGGAGTCACAGATTTGGGGAATTTGGGGGATTTGGGGTCATGGATTTGGGGTTAAGGATGGTTTTGGGATCGAGGATTTGGGGGATTTAGGGGATTTGATGTCATGGATTTGGGGCTAGAGATGGTTTTGGGATGGGGGATTGGGCTTGGAGGTGGTTTTGGGGTGAGGGATTTGGAGTTAAGGATGATTTTGGGCTTGAGGAGTTGAGGTTTGAGATGGTTTGGGGATGGAGGATTTGGGGTTAGAGAATGTCCCTAAATGTCCCCAGATGTCCCCAGATGTCCCCAAATGTCCCCAAATGTCCCCAAATGTCCCCAAATGCCCCCAACCCCAGCCCCCCCCTTACCTGCCGCCCATCCCCCCCCCGAGCTGCTGCGAGGGGACGCTGGGCAGCCCCCCCGCCCCTCCCCCACCGTCCCCCCCAAATTCGGGGGGACCCTGGGGGGGTCCGGAGCCGGGGAGGGGGAGGGGCGGGGGGAGGGGCGGGGCCAAGCCCCGGGACCCCCCCCCAATTTCGGGGCAGGGCCCCATGTCCAGGTAGCAGCGCTCGGGGGGGGGCTCGGGGGGGTCCCCCCGGTCGGGGAGGGGGTCCCCAAAAGGGCCCGGAGCCCCTCCCACCCCCCCCAGGCCTTGGGGGGGGTCTTTCCTCGGGGGGACCCCCCCGGGACCCCCCTTGTGGCGCCAGGGGACCCAGCAGAGCTTCCAGGAGACGAAGAGGGAGACGCCGAGCAGGACCAGGCCACAGAAGGTGACGATGACGGAGAGCAGCGACACCGACACCTCTGGGGGGGGACAAAATTGACCAAAATCAGCCAAATTCAACCCAAAATTCAATAAAACAACCAAAAAAATCCAGCCAGAATTGACCAAAATCCAGTCAGGATTGCCCCAAACCCCCCCAGCAGGACCAGGCCGCAGGAGGTGACGATGACAGAGAGCAGAGACACCGACACCTCTGGGGCGGACAGAATTAACCAAAATCACCCAAATTCAACCCAAAATTAACCCAAAAATCACAAAAATGTAGACAAAATCCACAAAAATCCACTCAAGAATCACAAAAATCCAGCCAAGATTGACCAAAATCCAGCCAGGCTTGTCCCACCCCCTCAGCAGGACCAGGCCGCAGAGGGTGACGATGACGGAGAGCAGAGACACCGACACCTCTGGGAGGGGATAAAATCACCCAAAATTCACCCAAATTCAACCCAAAATCCACACAAAATCCATAAAAATCGACACAAAATCCGTAAAAATCAAATCAAAAATCACAAAAATCCAGCTATGTTTGACCAAAATCCAGCCAGGATTGCCCCACCCCCTCAGCAGGACCAGGCCGCAGAGACACCGACACCTCTGGGAGGGGATAAAAATCACCCAAAATTCACCAAAATCACCCAAATTCAACCCAAAATTAACCCAAAAATCACAAAAATGTACACAAAATCCACAAAAATCCACTCAAGAATCACAAAAATCCGGCCAAGATTGACCAAAATCCAGTCAGGCTTGTCCCAACCCCCTCAGCAGGACCAGCCGCAGAGGGTGACGATGACGAGAGCAGAGACACCGACACCTCTGGGAGGGGATAAAATCACCCAAAATTCACCCAAATTCAACCCAAAATCCACACAAAATCCATAAAAATCGACACAAAATCCGTAAAAATCAAATCAAAAATCACAAAAATCCAGCCGAGATCGACCAAAATCCAGCCAGGATTGTCCCACCCCCTCAGCAGGACCAGGCCGCAGAGACAACCGACACCTCTCGGGGGATAAAATCACCCAAAATTCACCAAAATCACCCAAATTCAACCCAAAATTAACCCAAAAATCACAAAAATGTACACAAAATCCACAAAAAATCCACTCAAGAATCACAAAAATCCAGCCATGTTTGACCAAAATCCAGCCAGGCTTGTCCCACCCCCCCTCAGCAGGACCAGGCCGCAGGAGGTGACAAGGACGGAGAGCAGAGACACCGACACCTCTGGAGGGGATAAAATCACCCAAAATTCACCCAAATTCAACCCAAAATCCACACAAAATCTAGAAAAATCGACACAAAATCCGTAAAAATCAAATCAAAAATCACAAAAATCCAGCCGACATCGACCAAAATCCAGCCAGGATTGCCCCCACCCCCCTCAGCAGGACCAAGGCCGCAGAGACAACCGACACCTCTCGGGGGATAAAATCACCCAAAATTCACCAAAATCACCCAAATTCAACCCAAAATTAACCCAAAAATCACAAAAATGTACACAAAATCCACAAAAAATCCACTCAAGAATCACAAAAATCCAGCCATGTTTGACCAAAATCCAGCCAGGCTTGTCCCACCCCACCCCTCAGCAGGACCAGGCCGCAGGAGGTGACAAGGACGGAGAGCAGAGACACCGACACCTCTGGGAGGGGATAAAATCACCCAAAATTCACCCAAATTCAACCCAAAATCCACACAAAATCTAGAAAAATCGACACAAAATCCGTAAAAATCAAATCAAAAATCACAAAAATCCAGCTATGTTTTGACCAAAATCCAGCCAGGATTGCCCCACCCCCCTCAGCAGGACCAGGCCGCAGAGACACCGGACACCTCTCGGGGGATAAAATCACCCAAAATTCACCAAAATCACCCAAATTCAACCCAAAATTAACCCAAAAAATCACAAAAATGTACACAAAATCCACAAAAATCAAGAATCACAAAAGTCCAGCCAAGATTGACCAAATCCAGCCAGGTTTGTCCCACCCCCTCAGCAGGACCAGGCCGCAGGAGGTGACAAGGACGGAGAGCAGAGACACCGACACCTCTGGGAGGGATAAATTAACCAAAATCACCCAAATTCAACCCAAAATTATCAAAAAATAAGGTGTGTGCCCAGGTGTGTCCATACCTATCTCCAGGTGTGCCCAGGTGTGTGCCCAGGTGTGTGCCCAGGTGTAACCCAGGTGTACCCAGGTGTGCCCAGCTGTACCCAGGTGTAACCCAGGTGTGTCCATACCTATCTCCAGGTGTGCCCAGGTGTACCCGGGTGCACTGTACCTGCACCCAGGTGTGCCCAGGTGTAACCCAGGTGTAACCCAGGTGTACCCAGGTGTGCCCAGGTGTAATGCAGGTGTGCCCAGGTGTGCCCAGGTGTACCCAGGTGTGTGCCCAGGGTGTGTCCATACCTATCTCGAGGTGTGCCCAGGTGTGTGCCCAGGTGTGTGCCCAGGTGTACCCAGGTGTAACCCAGGTATGCCCAGGTGTGCCGTACCTGTCCCCAGGTGTGCCCAGGTGTGCCCAGGTGTGCCCAGGTGCACTGTACCTGTGCCCAGCTATGCCCAGGTGTACCCAGGTGTGCCCAGGTGCACTGTACCTGTACCCAGCTATGCCCAGGTGTAACCCAGGTGTAACCCAGGTGTGCCCAGGTGTACCCAGATGTGCCCAGGTGCACTGTACCTGTACCCAGCTATGCCCAGGTGTAACCCAGGTGTGCCCAGCTGTACCCAGGTGTATCCAGGTGTACCCAGGTGTGCCCAGGTGCACTGTACCTGTACCCAGCTATGCCCAGGTGTACCCAGGTGTAACCCAGGTGTACCCAGGTGTGCCCAGCTGTGCCCAGGTGTGCCCAGGTGTGCAGTACCTGTATCGGCCGGCCGGGGGTGCCCGCGGTGCCGCAGCAGGTCGGTGAACTCGAGGCAGCGGGCGTGGGGCGGGCGGGGCGCGGGGGGCGAAGCAGAGCTCGTGCACCAGGCGCAGCGCGCTGCGGCAAACGTCCTCCTCGTAGTCCCCGGACATGGCCTAAAGAATGAGGAAAAAAACACGGGAAATTGGGAAAAACGGGTGGGAAAATGAGATTGTTGGGATTTCTGGGTGTGGTGAAAAAACGGGGGGAAAATGGGAAATTTGGGGGAAATATGGAGAGAATACAGATGCAGGCAAACGTCCTCCTCATAATCCCCCAACATGGTCTGGGAAATGGGGAAAAACCACGGGAAATGGGAAAAAACGGGCGGGAAAACGAGATTTTGGGGATTTCTGGGTGTGGTGAAAAAACGGGGGGAAAATGTGGAAATTTGGGGAAAATATGAAGGAAAAGGTTCTCCTTGTACTGCCCAGACGGACCTGGGAATGGGGGGAAAAATGGGGAAAAAAAAAGGGGGAAAATGGGAAAAATTGGGAAAAAACTTGGGGGGAAAACAAGATTTTTGGGATTTCTGGGTGTGGTGAAAAAATGGGGGGAAAATGTGGAAATTTGGGGAAAATATGGAGAGAATACAGATGACATCATGAGGCAAACATCCTCCACGTAGTGCCCGGACATGGCCTGGAAAACAGGCAAAAAACACGGGAAATTGGGAAAAAATGGGCGGGAAAATGAGATTTTTGGGATTTCTGGGTGTTCTGAAAAAACGGGGGGAAAATGTGGAAATTTGGGGAAATATGGAGAGAATACAGATGCAGGCAAACATCCTCCTCATAATCCCCCAACATGGTCTGGGAAATGGGGAAAAAACACGGGAAATTGGGAAAAAAACGGGCAGGAAAATGAGATTTTGGGGATTTCCGGGTGTGGTGAAAAAACGGGGGGAAAATGGGGAAATTTTTTTGGGAAAAATATGGATAAAATATGGGAAAAAATGTCCTGCTCATTGTCTCTAGATGGGGTCTGGAAATGGGGAAAAAAATGAGAAAAAATGGGAAAAAAATGGGGAAAAATGGGAAAAAAAAAGAGGGGAAAATCAGATTTTTGGATTTCTAGATATGGTGGAAAAATGGAGGAAAAAAGTGAAAATTTGGGAAAAAGATGGATAAAATACAGATGAAATAATGCGGCAAACGTCCACTTCATAGTCCCCAGGTATGGCCTAAAAAAGGGGAAAAATCAAGGGAAATTTGGAAAAAATGGGCAGAAAATGGGGGTTTTGGGGATGCCCAGATATCCTGAAAAAACGGGGAAATTTGGGGATAATATGGAGAAAATATGGATAAAAATATGGATAAAATGTCTTCCTTGTTGTCTCCAGATGTGGCCTGGAAAAAGGGAAAAAAATGGGAAAAAACGCAGAAAAAATTGGGAAAAATGTGGGGGAAAATGAGATTTTTGGGATTTCTGTGTACAATGAAAAAATGGGGGAAAAATGTGGAAATTTGGGGTATATATGGACAAAATATGGAAAAACGTTCTTCTTGCAGTCCCTGGACATGGCCTAAATAAAAAATGGGTAAAAAAGGGGGAAAATGGGGAGAAAAATGGGGAGAAATGGGGGAAAATGGGGGAAAAATGAGGGGGAGAAATGATGAAAAAATTGGGAAAATTGGGGGGAAAATGTGCAAAAAGTGGGGGCAAAATGGGGAAAAAATTGGAAAAAAAACGTGGAAAAAACATCCTGGTCGTGATCCATGGATGGGGGTGAAAAAATGGGATAAAACCATGGAAAAATGGGCAAAAAATGGGGGGAAAATGTGGGAAAAATTCTCCTCGTAGACCCCGGTCATGGCCAGTGCAAAAAAAATGGTGCCCAACACACCTGGGCACACCTGGGCACACCTGGGCACACCTGGGCACACCTGGCCCAGCCCCTCCCCTTTTTGCCCCTCCCCTTTTTGCCCCTCCACTTTAGCCCCTCCCACCGTGGTCCTGCTTAAGCCCCACCTTATTAAGCTCCTCCCCTTAAGCCCCTCCCATTGGCACCACCCTCTTAAGCCCCTCCCCTCAAGCCCCTCCCTTTAAGACCCCACCCTCCCTTTAAGCCCCACCCATTTCAAGCTCTACCCCCTTTTAGCCCCGCCCCTTTAGCAACATATTTTAAGCCCCTCCCACTTTAACCCCTCCCATTTAAACCCCTTCCCCTTTCAGCCCCGCCCCTTAACCCCTCCCCTCTACTCCCACCCATTGAAGCCCCTCCCCCTTTTCAAACCCCACCCCCTTTAGGCCCCGCCCACCCACCGTCTTTTAAACTCCTCCCCTCAGACCCCCACCCCTTTAAGCCCCTCCCCCTTGAGCCACACCCATTTAGGCCCCGCCCCCCTCTCACCTTTGGGGTCTCCCGACTTTGGGGGGGGTCAGAGGGGCCCGGGGAGGGGGAGGGGGGGGCGGGGCCGGGCCATGGAGGGCGGGGCCGGGGGGGCCCCTCGCGTCACCTGTGGGGGGGCGGGGGGGAACAAAAATGAGGGGGGGACACCCCAAAAGTGACCCCAAAATGACCCAAAATGACCCCAAAAATGACCCCAAAATTACCCCAAAATTACCCAAAAACTGACCCCCAAGTGACCCCCAAAATGGCCCCAAAAAGTGACCCCAAAAACTGACCCCAAAATGATCCCAAAGTGATCCCAAAAGTGGCCCCAAAATGACCTAAAATTACCAAATGACCCCAAAATGACCCAAAATTACCCAAAATTACCAAATGACACAAATTACCAAATGACCCCCAAAATGACACCAAAATTACCCCAAAATTACCCCAAAACTGACCCAAAAGTGACCCCAAAATAGCCCCAAAAAGCTACCCCAAAACTGCCCCCCCAAAATCCCCACCCCAAACACCTGAACCCCAACCTACCCCACACACCTGAACCCCAAAATCAGCCCCGCACACCTGAACCCCAAATACCTGAACCCCCAAATCTGCTCCCCATCACCTTCCCCACACACCTGAACCCCCAAAAATCCCTGCCCCAAAAATCAGCCCCACACACCTGAACCCCAAAATCCCACCCCAAACACCTGAACCCTAAAATCAGCCCCCAAACCTGCACCCCTCACACACCTGAACCCCCAATACCTGTCCCCAATACCTGCACCCCAATACCACCCCCAAAATCACCCCAATACCTGAGCCCCCCAAATCAGCCCCCATCACCTGAACCCCAAAACCTGCATCCCTCACACACCTGAACCCCAATACCTG